TGATTATAATAACATATTCAATACTTGGATGGGCATTGGAAATGCAATTGAACATCTTTATAATTTTGATTACTTTATTTATTTGTTAATATTTTTTTAAAATTTTTATTATTATTATTTATTATTTATTATTATTATTTAATTCATATTTTACAATTGTATCATAATTAATTATTGTATAAATTAAATTAATTAATTAATTAATTATGACTTATTTACTCTTTTTTTTTTTAAAAAAAAAATAGGTGGATTTAGTATTCATATGGTATTTTCTTCAGCAATTGCATATTTAGTTGATGCATATTCAATTCATACAGCTTCTATAATGTCAGTAAGTGATTCGTTGGCATTTATATTCTCAGGAATCATGACCATATTAACCCCTCTCATAGTAAATTTAATAGGATATGGTTGGATGTTTACTATATTAGCTGGTGCGAATTTAATTGGAATGATTTTTTCAATTTTAGTATATTTTAAAGGAAAAAATTGGAGAGAAAGAAGCATGCAAGATTAATATTTAAAATATTTTTAAAATTAAAAATAAAATTATTAAATTTTTAATTTTATTCTTAAAACTAAATTATAATTTCAATTAAGAAAATAATTAAAATGATGTAAATAAATAATTTATAGATAAATAATTTAATTGTATAATTTAATTGTATATAGATGAATATTTTAGAATATTTTAGAATATTTTAGCAAAACTGAAGATTAAACAAATTAATTAATTTGGTATCACATTTATTGTGATTCTATTATTCATCACTTTCCATTAATTCTGCAAGTTCTTTCTCTTCTTCTTCAGTAAGTAATATACCAGTAACTTCTTTTGTTAAAACTGGTTCAATTTTAATCTTTTGAATTTAAGTTTTTTTATCTTTTGTTTCTTTTGTTAAAATTTTTAAAAATTTAAATTATTAGTATTACTACTACTATATTAATTATTATTATTATTATTATTTTATTATTATTATTAAATTTTCAAAATTTACCATGAAGAGACCATTTTCTTATTGTACAATCTAAAGATCCGGTGTATAAAGTGGTTCCTTTAATACACATACATCCTATTTCATCAAAGTGACCCTCAATTGCATTTATCAATTTTTCACTCTGTATTTTTAAAAATAATGATAAATTGTTCATAAAAAAATAAATAAATAAAATACAAAATACGATAAAATATTTAAATAGAATTAAAAAGTAAACAAACCCCAATATCAAAAACTCTAATTATCTCATCGCGTGAGCCGGTAATAACATATGGACCAAAAAGTGAAATACACTTGACGAAATCTGGATGTTTAAAAGTGGTATCTGGTTTTCCAGTCTAATGAATCAACAAATTAACAAAAATTATTCTTGAAAAAAATTTTTTTTTTCTAAAATAAATAAAAATAATTTACTGATAAATCCCATCTTTTCACAGTCGTATCAGCTGAAGCTTTTAATTAAAAAATAAAAAATAATTTAATAAATAATTTAAATATAATTTAATAATTATAATGTTATAAATTACCT